ATTTTTCTGAAAAACTATAGCATTTTCATCGCTTACTCATCCATCACCATACAATAGTAGGCTACAATGTGTTACTTGTGGTTGGTCTGGCCATGCGTCACTCAGAATACAGTCAGCCAATCAGGAGAGAGGCTCAGAGACCGACACAAAACTCCCTGTTTTTCCTAGAGCTCCAGAGAGAAGCATGAGAGAGAGAGGGCAGGAGATTTGAAACTACATTGAGATGGTTTTTGATACTTATACCACAAATACTGTATGTCTTCTTGTTGATATCAAAACACAGTAAAAGTGTATAATATGGAACCTTTAAACTTGAATGGCAAATTTTTATTTATATGGTTCAAGTACTCTCTTGTTCAAGTACGACATTGAAAATTCCTTCTTTAGCTTGTCCTAAAAATTTGACATTGTACTGATTTAATTTAAGGTTTAATGGATTTTATCTGTCATTTGTGTGCCTAAACATCCTTATGCTTCATGTAATTACAGGTGGCTAAACTCACTCATGACATCTCTATTTTCACTGAGGGCATCCTGATGATGAAGACCACTCTAGTCGGGATCATTAAGGTAGATGATGTGATGAAATAGTTTGCACTTGCTCACAAGTTCTCTTCTTTTACTCTAAGCATGATTCAACAATAAGATACAGTAGAGGATTTTACACTGTGATGCTGTAGGTGGATCCTAAGCAGCTTCTGGAGGATGGCATCAGGAAGGAGCTGGTGAAGAGGGTGGCCTATGCTTTGCACAAAGGGTTGATCTTCAATCCCAAGACTAAGGTCAGTCATCAAATCCACTACATATTTATATATATTTTTTTTATGTTTATATTTTACAGTTCATTATCAATTTTGAGCACAAGTTTGTGAAATATTTGGTTGGTGTGAAATCAAATCACTGAATTATTAATTGAACTGGAGACATTTCTCCAGGACAGAGGACAAAAACAATGAATAATTTACAATCAGAGGTTTTGCCCAGAATACTTACAACATCTTTTTATTGGCTCATTATAATTAGAATTTAAAAAGTTATGAACTGATGTGCGTGTTCTCTTGCCCTGTGAGCATCAAGGTAAACAACAGTGAAAAATTAAAGGATGAAACTAAATAAACGTACAATATTCCACTCTTTCAGCCCAGTGAGCTGATGCCCAAGTTGAAGGACATGGCAGCCACCATGGATGGGTTCTACAGGTCGTTTGAGTACATCCAAGACTACGTCAGCATTTATGGCCTTAAAATCTGGCAGGAGGAAGTGTCGCGCATCATCAACTACAATGTGGAGCAGGAATGCAACAGCTTCCTCAGGACAAAGGTCAGGCATTAGAACATTAGCATGCTGTCAACAGTTTCTGATCACATCCATGAATAGTGATCTGACATCAGGTCATCTCTCTGTAATCCATAGGAAATCCATAGGCTCTGGCTGTTTGCCTCCTAATCAGTAATAGGGATTGACTGACTGAATGGTTCTTTCCTTACACCAATCAGATCCAGGACTGGCAGAGTGTGCACCAGTCCACCCACATCCCCATCCCCAAGTTTCCCTCTGTGGATGAATCTGCCACCTTCATCGGTCGTCTCTGTAGAGAGATTCTCCGAATCACTGATCCCAAGTATGTCTCCTCAGATATAACAGAGAAATTGTTGAAACTGTTTTTTTCTGGGCTTTAATGTGAAGGTTGAGATTCTGCAGTATTTATAAGCTCACAGACAAACACGGGTCCTTCCTATAGGGTAACATGCTACATTGACCAGATGAACACCTGGTATGATCTGAAGAGCCACCAGGAGGTGACCAACAACAGGCTTTTCTCTGAGATCCAGAGCACTCTGGGTACTTTTGGTCTCAATGGACTGGACCGCCTACTCTGCTTCATGATTGTCAAGGAGCTGCAGGTAATTATCCCACAAAAAATGAATTAAAAAGCACGTGCTTAGTGAAATAATATTCAACAGATTGCTGTTACTCAGTCCATACGGGCCTTTACTGTATCTTCAGTGCACATTGTCCTGTATGTCTGCTGGAATATTAGCATTAGCAACCTATTTCTCCCATCAGAACTTCCTGACAATGATTCAGAAGACCATCTTGAAGGACAAAGCAGTGGTGGATGTCTTTAAAGCAATGCTGGGTGCTGTCAACCCAGTTCAGGGCATTGTGGGTAGGTATTCATTTAGGAAATCCTACTACCTGCCTGGATTTTTCTTACCTCTTATGAAAATGTGATTTGTTTTTTCTGCTATAGCTAATGCCAGCAAAGTGTACGCCAGTGCTGTTGCCAAAACACAGAAGATCTGGGGCGCATACCTGGAGGCCATCATGAAGGTACTGGGCCATGTTATTCTCTCATGTTCGTAAGCAGAAGACAAGCTGCCATAAAAATAATGTTAAATGTTGGTGTTTGTTGTAGGTTGGTCAGATGCAGATTCTCAGACAGCAGATTGCTAATGAGCTGAACTACTCCTGCAAGTTTGACTCCAAACACTTGGCTGCAGCCCTGGAAAACCTCAACAAGTCAGTCTAGTATCACTGTGAAGTGCTTCTAATTTCAATATCTCAGTTGCATGGTCCTCCAAAATGTTATTTATGTTTAATAACCTTTAGACTAATGATGCATGGCACATATGTGTGTGAGCACATACATGTATATATAAATGTTTAATCAAATACCATTTCTACTATTTCATCTGATGCTGTATTAATGACCTTATGATAATGCCCATGCTGCCCTTGCAAAACATGATTTTTCCTGATTAGAATTTCAGCACAAGTAGTAGTCCAAAAAAGATTATTGCTCTGATTCAGTTTTCTGTCAAACTTTTTTGTTCTTCTGCTGAATGTCAACTCTGATTGTGACCTTTCCAGGTCTCTGCTGGCGGACATTGAAGCTCACTACCAGGACCCATCCTTGCCCTACCCTAAAGAGGACAACACTCTTCTGTATGAGATCACTGCCTACCTGGAGGCTGGTGGCATTCACAACCCACTCAACAAGGTGTGTAGACCATGGATGTTTCTTCCCACACAAGTGATGAGTGAAAGGTCTTAAACCTGTTTTTTCATTTTAATCTTCAGAGATCACTGCAAGCTGAAACATTTTCGCCTGTGTTTATCATCTGCACACTCTCCTTCTAGTTTTTTGTTTTGTTTGGTTATACTTTAGAGGAGGTTCTGACCGTTTTTTTCTCTTTATTTCTTTCACAGATCTACATCACCACCAAGCGCCTGCCTTACTTTCCCATCATCAACTTCCTCTTTATTATTGCTCACCTGCCTAAACTTCAGTACAGCAAGAACCAAGGCAAGTTTTTTTCTGTCAGTTTGTCACATCACAACTCTAATCAGTGTATTGATGCTTGTGAGTTATTAAGTTGTACATTTATGAGTGCAACAGGTAAACCAGTGTATTATAATGGTTGAAGTTTCAGAAAAGCTTAATTTTCTAATTCTCTTAATCCATCACAATTTTTATCCAGAACCTTACCACACACATGGCATAACACCCATTATTGGCTTCTATTTTTCTGAGAGCTTGACTGTGGTTTTACTTGGATAGGCTACTCACCATGCATAGAGGATTATTCTTGGAAAGATAGACATCAATACTTGAACCAGGAAGGTTCAAGGATTATACAAAACATATACATTCTGTGGTGGATTTTTCCGTCAGTATGCAAGAATTACTGGTATATGTAAGGCTTCATCCACATGTACATGACTCATGTCTTTTGTCTTCACAGGGATGACCTGCAGAAAAGCCACGGACCCAGTTGACTGGCCTCCGCTTGTGCTTGGCATGCTCACCCTCCTCAAGCAGTTTCACTCCAGATACACACATCAGTTCTTGGCGCTCATTGGTCAGTTCATCCGCTCAATCATGGAGCAGTGCACAAGGTAACAAAACAAACTCGTCTACTTTGGAATAATTTCTAAAATTACATATTTATACACTTCCTGTTGTGTAGTTTAAGGTAAACATATTGTTTACTTTTTGATTGCTTTATCTGAATACTGTTATGCAGTGTATCCTATCATGGTTTTATGAACTCACATTTGAGTTCCTATTTTAATCCATTATAGTCAGAAGATCCCCGACATGCCCTCTGATGTGGTGGGAGCTCTGATGTTCCTGGAAGACTATGTGAAGTACACAAAACTGTCACGCAAGGTAGGGCAGCTCTCACCTTTTTAATGCTGCTAGTAATGTTGTAAAATGTTTTTTATTGACAACAGTTTAGAATAGCTGGTGTGATGGGGAAGCCTGAGCTCTGATTTCTGATGATTCTACCATAATATATTTAGCAACTTGTTATAAAGGTGTGATACTTTTCTTGAGATAAACTATAGACATTTTTGTCTTCTATTTTTACAGTATGTACTGAGAAATAGCAACATGCATTTCATTCTAGTTTCTCTGTTTTTTAGGTGGCTGAAGCCCATGTGCCCAGTTTCATTTTTGATGAGTTCAGAACAGTTCTGTGAAGATCTGGGTGAAGCACTTCATCAGAAAATTATGCTGCCATAGGCTTGTTTCTCAGCAGACATTTTGACTTGTCATAGTAGGATAAGCACCAGTGTTACTAATAACATGATCAATGGCTCTGTTCCAGTAAGCCAGGACAGTGTGACAGTGAGCCAGCATGCACAGTACTAGGACTGGAGCAGCTAAATAATGGTCTGCCATCATGAATGTTATTATTTACTCCTGTGATTTTTGTACTGTGACATGCCAAAATATCCTCTTTGAAAAAGGCCTATTGAATTGTTTACTTACATTTCATTGTTTAGACCATCAATGTCTTTATGCAATAATACGAGATTGTACATAGATAGAAAATTGAAATTTAATATGAATTAACTTGTCAGCTGTGTGTATTATCACTTTGTGCCATTTCTAAATGAAATTCATTAATAAATACGATCGTTCATATTATGTTGTTTTATTTCTCTTCCGTTGATCAAGGCCTTTACTTTGAAAAACAAACCCGGAACTTAGAACTGAGCCACTGTAGGAGTTAACTGTTTTTTTCGCGCGTTATTTGTGTTTGCTATTTGTATTTTACCTTTATCCCATTGGCTTCACAATAGCTTTACTAAAACACATTGACCCAGAGACAAGACGTCGTTACTTCACAAACAGTAGCTCGTCAGTTTACTGGCTAAGCTAACCATAGCAAACGCAGGTGACGTTAGCAAGCTAGGCTAACGTAACGTTAGCTTAATTTGTTATATTTGTGGTGTCGGAGGGTTAAAGTTATTAATCGTAATGTCTCTGAGCGCCGTTCACGGAACACTGACAAGCCTGAAGTCATGTCAGGTAGACATCGGGACAGGAATGGACATAGTGACAGATGTGGCGATGGACCTGGCGGAAGCTCAGGGTAACTAACTTTGATTCTCAGTCTGCTTGACTAGTCTCTGTTTCTCTCTCATGTTTGTTTCAGTCTCTGCGTGTGCATAGTTAAAAGGTTATGATGGTGCTATTGATTTCCTAAGTGCATTACAGTTGGTAGACTGTAACTACTTTTATTCATGTACTGAACTTAATTAAAAATTTGAGGTAATGATCTAGTTATATATCCATGAATATACTTATTGGGGTAATTTTTTACTAATACATCTGTACTTTAATATGAATACGTTTGAATGGAGATATTTTACTTTTACAGTGTGATATTTGCACTTTTTCATGGGTAAAGGACTCAATACTTACTCCAACACTGTGTGTGTTCTTGTGTCCCAGATGAAGAGGTGAACCCTGGCGTCAAAGAGATGGAGACCATGATTCTGGAGTGTGCCAGACTGGACAGGGAGATTAACTACTTTGTTGATGTTGTGCAACAAGTCACAGCTGAGGTGAGAGCAATCTGGCATGGTCTAATCACATTAGTGGAAAACATGTTTACCTCTATACTAAGTGAGCAGGTCAGGCTAAAGCTGCATTACTAGGAGAACGACGTAAATTAATGGAAAGTGCATTAAGATGGATTGATTCTTTCCAAAGTCATTTAGCACACAGACTTTTTAGAATGGCAAGTCTAAATGTGAACGTGTAAGTTTTAAACACCAGAGAAAACAATGAAGTTGACTTGAATTGTAAAGGTCATGGAAACAGCATAACATACTTGAGTTACTGTAGGTCACCACACAGCAGCCAGAGGCCATGTTCAGCCTGTCTGCCAAAGTGAAGGAGCAGTTCACAGAGAGAACAGCCAGACTCTCTGATGCTGATCTGCACCGTCACCAGAAAGTAGTGGCCTTCAAGGACAGCATCAAGAACTCTTTAAACCAAGGTGAGGCTTGTAGAGAGAGGAAAAATAGTCTGAATTGGTCATTGCTAGACTACGCAGTGGATTCAGGATATATAATAGACTTTGATAATAGCTGTGCTTGCAGGAGAGCTTCTCAGCAAAGGAGAGAGAGGAATCTTGGGATGTGTTTCAGGATAATTAGCTTAATTTTAAACAAACAACTCCCTTTGTTTACTGAATAATTATGTTTGCCTGACACCCTGTAGCTGTTATTTTCTGCTTTTTAATTGTTGTCCTCATTACACCCCTTATTAAAAGGGTGGCCTCCCACAGACAATGCTATGCTTTTTAGGTTGTCTGTATATGCTGTAAGTGAAATCGCTGCTGCGCCCGTGCCATTTTCCCAGGCTGACTCAGTCTAAAAAGTTGTATCAGGTTACCCAGTAAAAAAAATATGAGAAAATATAGTTTAAAGTGTGAACTTTGTGAACTAAGGTGAGATCATTTCATGCTTAGTCAATGTATTCTGAGAAGGATTAACCCATCAGACATTATCATTGTCAAAACTATCACTTCATGCTCTTATTGAGGTGTTAATATTTTGGAGCTGAAACATTGCGCTCAAAGGCTTAAATCAAAGTCTGTAAGCCTAGCTGTGGCTGTGTCATTGCATCGTGGCCTGGATGAATTTCAGTAGGCAGCATGTTGAGTTTTCTTTAATACCCTAGGCCTAGGATGACCTTTGAGTCATTGGAGAGTTGTAGCTGTAGTGGGACAACAACAATAAATACATGGACTAAAAACGGGGAGATTGCTTTATGTGTGGGTGGGTATGTTAGATGTCTGTGTACCTGTGTGAGTGGGAGAGGTTTGTGTGTGTGCAGGCAGGTAACTGTGTATCTGTTGGTGTCATGTCTTAAGGCTATGTGTGCTGTATAAATTCATGTGGCTGTGTATCTTGTTAGTGAACGATGGTAAATTTTGGTAAACAACAAATTTAGGCATTTGATAACATATCCAGGATTACCTCTGAAATTATTAGCACCTAAGGGGGAGATGTTGCAGTATTCCATAGTTATAGTTTCATCCAAGCTGGTGTCCTTGCCTGCTGGATCTTCTCCTGCCATCTTGTCAATGATCCAGTTCATCACTTATTACTGAGACTGGACGTTTGGAAACAAACTGTATGTGTTTGGTGTTTTCAGTCAGCCAAGAGTCAGCAGAGAACCTGGAGGAGCTTGATGAGGACATTGCTGTTACACTGAGCCAAGTCAACTTCACCTGCCCACTGACACAGGTACACTGCCCCAGCCTGTTGATATGTTATTTTACTAGAAATTCACTCTGTCACTGATTCCTGTTTGATTCTTTCTCTTCTTTTCTAACACTTTTTCTTACATCTGTACCTAGTCACTGACAATAATATCGTAGATGTTAAGAAGAGAAAATATAGAGAACCATCTCCATTTGGGTTTTTGGTCTCTGCATTTCATTATATAAACACACCTCTGTGTATCTGTATTCAAGGTGGAAATGGTGAACCCGGTTAAGAATAAGAAGTGTAACCACCACTATGATGAAGGAGCCATACTGGGCCTGATCAAAACAAGACAAAGCCAGAAAAAGAAATGCCGGTAAGACATGCTCCCTTGGAGGACTCTTAGAAAGTTGAATTAGGTTTTGCTGCAGTAAACAACTCGGCAGGTTGGCGTGGGACCAGCTGTTTGCCTTAATTCACATTTTCTTTATTATAGTGCTTTGATGTTGGAGTCAAATTAAATACGGCTGGTCCTAGAGGAACGCTGATGAAATCCCAACGCCTGTCTATGTTGTTGTCAACGAAACCTGCCTATTGTCTTGAGTCCTGACTGTGGTCACTGTGCACACCCAACATGCACAGTTATAGCAGCAATACCCAAGAGGGCTTTTTCTTGATTAGGTGTATGACTGTTGACTACAGGTACAACAGCATTTCATCCATATTTGCTATATCCATATTGAAGCAGCCCTGAAGTGCCCATCATCATTCAAGTCTTCATGCCTAACAAAGCTTCAAACAACACTCACCAAAGCATGTGTATTGTTTGAAGAGGTTTCTACAATGTATTATTCACATATCAGGATAAAAACAGAGAGAAAAGGAAACTAATAAAGCAAAGCTAACCAGGCATTTGACCGCTTAAATATGTATTATGCAAAATTATACAACAATAAATGAGGCAGAGCTAACACCAGAGATGCTCACAAGTCATTTTTAGCAAGTTTAAGTCAAGTCTCATGTCTCTTAGGGTTGAGCGGTCTATCATCTGCTGTATGCCCCCCCGCTCTGCTTAGAACACTGCATTGCCATATCTAAGGAATTCAAAGCATGTACTGCATTATCATCACTACTTCATCTCATAAGTTACGCATGGTAATAAGGGAAGGAATGACAGTTAGCTCATCAGACATTTCCTTAATGTTAATGAGCCAAAAACATGAAAACCATAAAACAGTGGGCAGCGCAGCCTGCTCCACTGGGCTGATTACCACAGCACAGCGCTATCGATCTCTCTCCCTCCCTCTTGCTCTCTCTCCCTCTCACTCTCCCCCTCGAGGCCCTACAACCAGCCCGGCCCACCAGGAATCTTCCCATGACTCCCGATTAGCCACTCCGTGTCCGACATACACCAGACTTCGTAGAAAAAAATTCAAAGTCATAGCAAATGATCTGGACCTTCCCCAAATGCAAATCAGTTCTGTACTTTTTGAGTAATTCTGCTGATAAATAAACAAATAGACATGGGGGAACACACAACCTCCTTGGCACAGGTAATAAAATAAAGATTGTTGACAAGTCCCAAATCTCAAGTCTTAAGTCTTTTGAGGACGAGTCTCAAGTCAAGTCTCAAATCACTGCGTGTGCGACTCATGTCCTTATCTCTGGCTAATACGAAGTTAATATATAGAGTTTTTTATGTGTTAAGTGTACCTGGCTGTTTCTGTCCTCTAGCTGTCCTGTGGTGGGCTGTGGGAACGCAGATGTGAGAGAGTCAGACCTCATTCCTGACCAGATGCTGAGGAGAAAGATCCAGAGCCAAAAGAGAAACAACAACCGGACGTAGTGCTCTACACAAGGATCATTTATCATAAAAAAACAATGTCTTGGTAATTTTTTGTATATTAAGAAAAGAGTATTGTTGGTCGTATTTTGAGACAGTTGTTTTTATCACTACTCAAGGTTTTAACCCATGTTGCCTGGTGTTTGTGAAGAATTTACAATTTTTTTTTTAACGATTTGTACCTCAGGAAAAATCCAGTAAAATGTTAATTTGTGAGGGGATGATTTTTGTGTTTTAACTGGAGCTTTTTATACTTCAGTCTCGTTGAATGAAAATAAATGTTTCAAACTTTGCTTATACTAATACCATCAAAGTTGTTTTTGTTATCGGGGGGCAGGGGTAATGATGACGTTTCAAATATTTTTCTGTCGCATATGATGCAGTAATTTCACAGAACCACAAGAGAGCAGCCTCTGCATGAGGACACGGGATTAATGTGGTCAGCAGAGCCAGAACAGGAGACATGAACTTTTCATCTCTGGATTATCATCTCTCAACTCCAGGTATGATGTAGTATTATTATTAAAGCTATTACCACCACTGGCAATTATAAATCCAGGAGGTGCTCATTTTAGTTTTCAAGTTAGTGAGCATATATGTATAAATAAATACAATCTATGAACCAAGATAAAGGAATATTGGAAATGTTGAAATCTTAGTGTCATACTATCCATTTCAAAATAAGACAGTTTCCTGTAATTGCAGATAACTGAAGCAGGATCCATGAGATAACAGAAGAACTTCCTCAAAAAAACGGTTTTGTGAAAGAGTCATAAACAAACCATTCTGTAACATATGCAGGAATGCACTTACGTGATTAAATCCCTCCCTTCCTGCCGGCTCTCGCTGCCTGTGAAGGGTCTTTGTTCCAGAGAGAAACAAACAAAGGCTGTGTTGAGATGAAACTAGGTAAAGCTAATCTTTTAATAACCTTGCATCAGGCATTTAAAAAAATCTCTAATTGCTCTTTCCCTCCAAAGAGTGCGTCATGCAGCACTAAGAGCATTTCTCCAATGAAGATATTAACTGGCAACAAATGATCTAGCTAATGTTGATTCATTCATTTCTCCACTCGGCTTCATTTTGAATTACCTCTCGGTGAATTCTAATTTTGTTTATTGCACAACACGTTAAGTCACAGGTAATTTTTACAACAACCGTTCAGTTTGTGGAACGTGCGCACACAAACAGCCATCAGCATTGCATTCAGCATATCACAGGCAAAGCCATTAAGCTGTTTCTTTGGAGGGATCCAGAGCTGTAAATAACCTCAGAAATTCAATCACAGTTTCGCACGGACATGCAATGCTGAGAAAGAAAAAAGAAAAAAAAAGCCAATCAATTCCCCATAGATGTTTGCTGTCTTCTGGTTATGTTTGATCTGGAATTCACATTCATCTGTTCAAAAGCTCCAAGAAGTAGGTGTAATGGCTGCCTGAGACACTGTAAGCCGCAATATCTGGCTTGTCCAAGGAGGATTTTACCTCTTGCTGGAAGTGAACATAGTCTCACTCTCTGGCACAGGAGTCCTGGCCAGGGCAGTGCCAGAGCTGGATGGAGAGGGAGGAGAACAGCAGGGTTCAGATAAGACTGGCACTCTGAACTCTGGTTTGATCCAGGTGTCATTCTTTTTTCCTCACTGCTTTTTCGAGGCTAAATCCAAACAGTTTGACACTCACCATCAAAAAAAGGAGCCTGGAAGAGGCAGCTTGCAAAGTTGAGAACCGTCGACAGAATTGTCAGGGAAACTGTTCTCTCTGGGGTTGCCCACATCACCTTCCCCTCTGAAGTGAATATAACAGTTTCCTTTAGAGCAGAGTTGAGTTATTTAAGATTGCAGGTGATACCAGAATTTGACAGAAAAGACCGTGAATAGAGGACACACAAAAACTCTTCACCATCTATGTACTGTAAATCCACCTGTACAAACATCCCGCATCCGGATTCCTGAGCTCACACACTCATAAACTGCAAAGACATTTTGACAGTAGGAAAATCGCAGGTGTAAATACTGGCATGCATGGCGGCTGAATTCCATTTAGCTGCTTCATTTTCAGGGTCCTATGTTGTACTGTGCATGCCGGCTCACTGTCACAGTGTCATGACTTACAGGGAGACGTCGCTTCAACACATTTATCATGCCCGTTATTATTTACACCTGTGCTTTTCCTTCTATGACAAGTCAAGCTGCTGTGAAAAAGAAACTACTGAAAGTTTAATTTAGGCAGAGTGCATTTCAGAAATGCTTAAACATCATTGTTTTGATATCCCAGCTGGCTCTAGTGACATGTAGATCTGTATAACTCAGGAAGCTTAGAGGAAAAATGTCAAAATCCAGTGCAAAGTTGATATTTTTCTCAATGGAAAAACACAGTAAGAACTGTATAATTCTGTAAAATCAGCTTGTATTAGATTGTGTAAAGTTCTGTGTTGCTGTTTAAAATGACATAACCTCAATTTCAGTGGAAAACTGAATAGAATGTATGCCCTCAATTTATCAAATAGATTTTGTAACGTATTTCCTATTTGAAAGAATGAAGAAAATTATGCCTAATAGTATTTTGCTCCTGAACGGCAGTGTTTGTACGTCTCTATGATTCTAATCCTTAAATTACATCATGCTAGAAGTTGCTGTAAACTACATACAACCATGTAAAAGAGCCAAAGAGATTTCACTTTATAATCCGATTTCACTTTTAAACCTCATTTCATCCTTGCACACGACTTTCTGAGAATGTGAATACTGAAATCACTGACTGCTTCTCTGACCAGAACAAACTTTTACCTTCTGTTACCGGCCTTAAAACAAAGTCAGGTTTTAGCACATAATTTTGGTCTAAAACTAATTATCCAGTGTTGATTACAACGGACAGAAAGTCATGAGATGGATGTTATTTCTCCTCACCCTTAACCATCTCCCTTTTCTTTCCTTTATACAGGATGTGTCTGCCGCTGTGTGTGCATGAAAATGTTGATGTTTTATGATTTCCTTATCGACTTTTTTTTTATGGGCTCGCACATCTTTTGTAGAATTGCATTAAAACTGCTTTTGTTAATGAAAATATATGGATTAATAATCAAGATATACTGTGTGTTTTAATTGTTTTTCACCTTTTGGGATCCTTCTCTCCCTTTTGAAAAATCACTGTATTGATCACGTGCACTTAACAGTGTGTGTGTGTGTGTGTGTGTGTGTGTGTGTGTGTGAGTGTGAGTGTGTGTGTGTGTGTGAGTGTGTGTGTGAGTGTGAGTTTTTTTTTTTTCAATAATGTATCCCTATATGATTCCACATCTTGGTATTATAGGCTACAAGGGAAAAATACTTTGTAGTTTTATTATATTTGGTAAGCTCATGGTATTGTGAACATGTAAAGTGTATTAAATCATATTGATTGAATGAATGAATTACAGTATTTTACTTTGATAACCTCCAATGTGATCTCCTCTGCAGGTTAGACTACAATAGAAACATCTCATCCTGTTTGTAGATTCTGTCTGTGGTTGTTTAATCAAAATTGGTACTGTCGCTTTAAATGGCAACACCTCCCAGCAGTCACTAGGTCCTGGATGAGTTTCGCTGCAACAAACACTGTGGTTCACAGCCTACTACAGGCAGTCTGTACAGCAGAGCAAACCACACAGGAAGGAGAGCAGCTGCCAACCTCAGTCTGAAGTCCTGTTGATTTTACAGATGTGACCAAAGGAGAGTGTGAGGAGCTGCTGAGACGAGCTGAACTGCAGGTGAGTGTGTGTCTGCCGCTTGGTCACTTTACTGTGGATTAACCTCCAGAAAATGAGGCGGAACAATTCTCGTGCTCACCTGAGACAGACTGGCGTGACAGCGGGAGTGTTGGTGACATCGCACGGTGCTGAGGGTGTATACAAAGTAAACGTGGCAGTAGTTATTATGTGAGTTCAGTGGAGACGCTGAGCCAACAGGTGTGTCAGGTCATACCTGTTGGGAATGTAAACCACGCGTGACAGTTTGACTTGCAAAAGGTTTCACTCGTGCTCTGAACTCTCCGTTTAAGATACTGTCTTCCTTATTTCTGTACAGGCGCAGTTGGTGTTCATCTGGAACACACATACAGCTGGACATGGATTATTGGTGCCGTCTCCACCGCTTTGGATTTAGTTAAGACACTGCACAACCCTGCGCCTCCTTCCGTGTCCTCCCCGGTGAAGTGAGTGCACCAAGAACAGGTGGATCCTGTTTCTGTGTTCAGCTATATCCTTCCCTTCATCCACCTGTCACCCTTATGGGGAACCAGGTGGAGAAACTTACGCATTTAAATTACGCAGAGGTGCCAACGTCGGACCCAAATGGATTCGACCCGGACGACGAAGGACCGCGGATTGGCGTCTCTTACATTTTCTCCAACGACGACGACGACGACCAGGACGACCATTTGGACCACTTTTCATCTGACAGCCACACGGTGAACCACGAAGAGAAGCCGTTCGACCCACAGGATGAGCTGGAGTGCGCGATTTACTACCGAGAGGAGAGTGTCTATGAGAGGAGCAGCGGAGCCGCGACGCACTCTGCGGAAAGTCTCCTGAACAAGTGCAGACCGGGAGACCTGCTGGAGTTTGTAGCCACTGGACAGTATCCTCACTGGGCTGTTTACGTCGGAGACTTCCAGGTGGTTCATTTGCACCGGGCTGAGATAAAGAACAACTTTCTCGCAGATGTGAGCCAGGGCAAAAAAGGCAGGATAGTGAACGGCCTCTACAGGTACCGTGCGCTCCCGCCGGAGGTGATTGTGCGCAACGCTCTGGACCACGTGGGGTCCAGAGACCAAGAGCTGTACTGGAGGAACTCGGAGTGTTTTGCCGCCTGGTGCCGCTTTGGCAAAAGGGAGTTCAAAATTGGAGGGGAGATACGGATTGGAAAGCAGCCATACAGGTTAAAATTACTCTTTTCAGAGAAGAAGAATCACGTCCTGGAGTTTCAGAGCCTGGAGGACGTGATCATGGAAAAGAGGAGGAACGATCAGATAGGCAAAGATGCTGTGATGCAAGAGCTGGCCAACCACCTGAACGCAACACATGAAATCAAAGAGGAGCGTTTTGTCAACTGATAGAGGATGCGCTGGTCAGCTTCAGTGGGAAATCCACAGTTTCGTTCTCATATACCGAGGATGTGTGTTGGTGAGGGAACATTTACGGCTCCAGAGCGTTGTCCATGAGCCTGTGCGCTTGTGCCACACTCCAAACAAATGTCCATGTTGAAAAGGAGTTAAAATTCATCTTGAAAATCTTTTTATTTTTTTTCTCCAAAGTGAGAGGAAATGCTCTAACATCTGGGGTGGCACTTGTTCCATTCTTAAGTGTATTAGTGAAGCATATCACAAGGGTCAAAACAAAATTTCCACAAGTTGATTTGCGTTGAAAACAAGTGAAAATTACAGGCCCCCGCCGGCAGATTTCCTTCCTCTTTCTAAGAAAAAAAAAAAAAAAGATTTTACACACTCAACCCAAGATTAAGTGACTTGTAATGGTGGATACATTTGCATCGGAGCTGCACCTGCAGTCTAATCATTTGGGGATGAAGTCAGAATGAAATTGCCCATAATTATCTTTCTAATCCAATGAGTCTTTGCACAGAGGAGCAAAACCTCTCCAATGTACTTATACCTGATGAGAGTGCTGAAAGCGCTTGCTCCTCTACAACTCAGGTGTTGGAGACCGATGCAGAGTGGAAGAGACACGACAGCTTTTCTTATTGTGTCAACCTTGAGGATTCCCTTCCGTTGCTTTATATCTGATCATCACACAGCTTTACCCACTCTTTGACTATTTTGTGGTTCATAGCTATGACTGTGCACTTTTATTGATTCATCCCTTTCAACAGTTTATTTTTTTGGAAAATGTTTGTATGAAGGAATATGGAAATAAATCTATATTTGAACAGTAATGTTTTTACTTTTCAGTGAAGGATTGTGACTGACCTTTTAAATGTTTTACGGGAATGTTAACACAATACCGGTCAATAATTTCAGACCATGAATCTCAGGAAAAGCAGGAGAGGTTGTTCTATATTCTCTCCAAACACTGCATCCTAATCACCAGCACTGTTTTGCACTGTGCACAAGATTTGAAAGCAGCAACACCCTTACCATCACAATCCCAGCTCACACCCCGGAGGAGCCACGGCTCTACCTGTTCAACTAGTGAGATCCCTGCTTTTTGTTTGTCGTTGTGTGGTGAGGAGTGCTGGCTGCCCTACAGTTAAAGCTGCTAATGCTGCCAGTTTTGATCTAAATATTCCCCTCAGAGCAGCAGCTCCCTGAAACCACTTTAACATCAGCTTTATAAGCTTGTGTCAAGTTGTGTTCCAACCATGCTGGACATTTTGCTTTGTTTACACCTCTGCCGACTGAAGATAAGTCATTTTTGAAAGTTTAGCCACAGGCTAAAAATGTTCTTCGCCCATATTTGGCTTTCCTTCCTTTCTGTGGAATTACAGCATTCATTAAATTTGCAAAGGTGCAATTTTATTTGTGTAAAACCACAAATAGACGGCTACATTCCCATCAAGTTTTTCTAAAAATACAGTATAAGAAAGGAATATATGGATACATTGGCAGTTTAAAGAATTTTGTACAGAATTATAATTAGGATGGAAAAAACAAGCCATAAATGTTAAGGATTTATCATCTTACAACAGGGAAAAATATAGATACTAATGATATTTTAAATTTCAACATGTTGCCTAAGTAATGTCAAATGTTAAATGCCTGTGAAACACTTTGCAGTGTGTTCACATACAGAGGCTGCAACGGAAGTTACAGCAGACTGAGGTTGTTTTGAACTGCTAGACATTTTTTTTTGTTCCCTCTCTATTTCAGAGGAAGCTGATGACTCTTTCAAAGCCAGTCAGTAGATGAGTTACTTTGCTTGTTTGTCTTCCTCTGGTAATATTTGCATAGAGATAATGTTGTAGTCATTTTGCTGCAGGTAAATCCCACTGGACCCAAAGCAGGATCATGATCAGCACTGGTACCAAATAGGAAAGCTGCTGGACACATTAGCATTTCTTCAGTCCTCTGTGGTCTACCACAGTGATGAAATATGAGGTGTGTGTGTGTGCGTGTGTGTGCGTCTGTGTGTGTGTGTGTGTGCGTCTGTGTGCGCGCGTGTGTGTGTGTGTGTGTGTGCGCGTGTGTGTGAGATGCATATTTATGATATCAGTCAATTTTTAGCACCAACAGAATCTAAGCAGCATTGGGTAAAACACACAATGTCAAAACAGCAGCCAGTGGAGTTGTGTGACTGAATATTAACCAAAATTTTAACCAAGTGACAAAACTGAAATTAAATTATACTTACATTATATAGGCCATTATGTTCAATTAGATTTCCTCTCCACAAATATGTGGGTTTTCTTTAGTCTCTGCATAGTATACTGTGCCGTTAGACATATAAACAACTGACAACATCATATAAAACATTTAGCTAAGAGGTAGCCATATAGCTATCAGCTGAATTAATATTATTAATATAATCTTATATTAATAGAATTTTGAGTAGTGTCTTATTGTATAACTTATATGTCAGTGAAATTTTAAAGCTGCCCTGTGGATTTTTTTTTTTGTAAGGAAACAACAGTTATGTTTACATTCAGTATTTCACACCAAAACACCAACATGCAGCGTGTATCCTTGAGGTCTAAACATGGTTGAATGTTTTTTTCTTCCTCATAAAACATTTGCAAAGCTGATTCTCCTTCACTGCTTTTGTTAGTGTATTGCTGCACTTCTTTGCACATTACTGCCACCAACTTTTGATGAGCAGAACACTGAAACTGGCGTCTTGCAAGATGTAAACTTGCTCCATAGCACTCCCAGTGGCCAAAAGCTCCACAGCATGCCTTTAATGTAGCATATCTACAAAGAAATCAAGTCAGCTTCACATTCACTCCAGTATCCCATGAAAACTGAGCCACGTTGCATCCCTGACTGAACTTCAGAAAAGGCCTGCAGTGAGATCTGTGACTAACTGAAATTAAATGTGACTAGTGAGAGTCAAAGCCCTCCTCCTTACCATGATACACAAAATGAGAGACCAGGAGAAGCTCTTGGTTTGACATGCTGGCTGACTGATGTCAGGCTTTTGGTTGGTCTGTCATGTTTTCTTTTATAGGACTGGAGGAAAGCCCACGCCCTTCAGGCAGAACTGGCAACATTACAGAAGTTGGGGAAAAGCCAGAGCTCAAATCAGACCCACCTTGTTTACAAAATGTCATTATCTACAAAAAACTCATTCCCACACGCACACATGTCTGAACTTAAGAGGAGTGAGCTCATGAGGAGATTGTATCTGACAGGCCTAAAGGAAATGGGACTGTGTTTTAGACGTGGCCTCAAGCCACTGAAAGATTGTTATCCATGTGAGACAAACACTGTGTAGCTTAAAGATGGATAGTTTTAGGACATTTAACAATATCAGGTTATGTGCTTGACTATTTAGAATTTGAATCTCGCCTCAGGGATTTTATTAACCTGCCAGTTTTCTGCCACTTGATCTTTTGCTGCTCAAACAGCATCTCTGAACTGCTCAGGTCTTTTTGCCAACAGATAGGAATTCTCTTTAACCATTAAAGAATTGCATTTATGAATGGCTGTTGGGAAAGAGAGTGTGCTTGTATAAGATAAGATAGTGAAACTGATTACTACGATTACGCCAGCCTTTGATTAGCAGTGCCATGTTGAATGTGTCATTCCTGAATCCAGAATTTGCCAACATTGATGTGAACAGTGGAGTTGGATAAAAACCAGGCGACTTCCTGCTCTTGTTAACAGTTAGCTGTTAAAATATGAACTTGCTTCCTCACCTATAAAAATCGTTTGCCATAGAGAGAGAGAGAGAGAGAGAGAGAGAGAGAGAGAGAGAGAGAGAGGGTGTGCTGTGGGGTTTTGTTTGTCAGGCCATTCTCACTGCCCACTCACCTGAATCATGTTTATGCGTTTATGCTTGTGTTTGGAGAGACAGCTCCATTTCCTGTGAATTAGAGAGAGCATAATGAAACTCCAAAAGCCCTTGTAACTCCAAAATTAACTACACTGCCTTCATTACCAGTCATTGATCCACAGTGCTGAAACTCACACAACTTTCTCTTTTTCACATTTTACCGAAAAAAGTTTATTTCTTCCAGCAGCACGCGCCTGCATCGGGTTAATCATTTATACGGGGCTCCCACCAGTTTGGCTTGGACTGGATTGTGTTTACTGTTCGCTCCGGACTGGCGCTGCACTGTGATTCTTTCTTGTCCCGACGCGGGGTGACCGCTTGTTTTTACAGCCACACAATGGCAAAGTCCGATCCCTTCCGGAAACATGGACTTCTAAGGTTGCTCTCCTTTTTCTAAGCAACATTCCCATAGCCTAGTTTTACATTGTTTGTGCTTCGTCTGCTACTTTTCAACTACAACTACTGAATTTAGTTTGTATGCTACTGCCCATACAGGCAGGCAACCAATGTTCCCTGCCTTTGTTTGTGGTTTCTTTCACTTTCCTTGACAAATGTGGTTTCATAGGACTGAGCACTAGGGTGTGAAGGTAAAGTCGCTGTTAAAAGCTATAGCTGGGGAATTGCTGTGCTCAGAAATGATCAGTTCAAAGAAATCACGATGGTTCAAAGGAAATAACAAGGAAACAAAAGCAATATAGCAAGTCAGGCTGGGTGAAGATACAAGACATCATGTGTAAGGATAGCTTTGTAAGACGAGGGGAGAATGTGCTTGATTTGATCGCTGAGTCTTGAGGAAGAGCGACAAATTCTTAGACGACAGCAGCTGATGAGGAGCTTTTCAGAATGGAATCAGGCCCTATTCTAGTTTGAGCTGTCGTGTCCGGTCAGCCGGACCTGTCTGGTTTACATAAGCGGAGCCAGACAACAGGAAAGGGCCCGAGGAGACCTTCAATAAACTGACCCTGTTTCTTATGACGGTAATGGATGAGCGAATGAATAAAAGAAAGAAAGAACGACGGGGGATAGGAGGCCTCGCTCCCTCTGAGAGAGAGGGAATCAGAGTAGTTATTAAACCCACATACTTGAACTGAGATGTGACTGAGAATTGTTGTCTTCAAGCGCTCTGACCTGTTTGTCACTTCAATTATGTATGGCAGGCTGATTCAATAGCTATCAACATTCATCTTGTCCTGAGTCATCGCAAGATTTCCTGCCTCTTCAGCTTTACTGGCCAACAGTGTGCTGGTTACCAGAGATTAAAAATTGCAAAAATTACAATTTAAGTGAGTCCAATTATGCTAATTATACAGTTGTAGGCCTTTTTTCTGGAAGAGGTTACATAAGCAGAGAAAATGCTCTTTATTTCTTTTTTTCTGGCTCAGTTTTGTTTTCCTGTTTTACTGCTCTGCCTCTCAATATTTGTCTACATTACCGAGGATTTAGATCATGTTACATTAAAGCCTAAATATCTAGAGGTTAAAGGAAAGACTTTTATATACCTTAACATACAATCCCTAAATAAATACCCAGGATAGACTCATAAAAAGAGTAAGAGGGAGCCACAGTGTGTCAGTTTTTGTGTGTGGAGTGCGCTTCACCTGGCAGCAAGAGTCATAATCCCCTGAGAGTCTCTTTTTTGGCAATTAATAGAGCCTACCCTCGCAGCTGTCTTTTCAAACTTTCCATCCAGATCCCAGGGAATCAAATTAGCACTTATCAACATTCCTTGCTCTTCTTTAATTTTAATTCCATGTAGCTGCTCCTGTGCTCTGTCAGTGTAATTGTCAGAGACAGAGCTGTGTTTTCTTATGCCCTTCACAGAGAAAAATCAAAAACAAAAACAAACAAATAAAGTACCCAATTCTAATGTGCTTTCCATCCTTTCTTCCTTGCCTCCCTCTTTCATTGTTTTGCTGTTTTTGACTCCTCCCTGCTTATGTTATC